CAAATGATTCGTCAACCCTGAATGAACACAAGCATTAAGGAGAAGATCAAATTCAGAAGCATCGTTTATGTAGATGGCAGAAGGTCAGCTCGCTTGTTACCTGAAATGAACGACTGTTCATGGAGCTCTACGATGCTGAGGAGGTCAGCTCCCTGCTGCTGGCAGCTCCTCCGGGCCTGAGACCAGGTCAGAGCTGCTTGTGAGTTCATCTGATACTGAACTCCAGTGACTGGGTCTGTGTTCCAGCCAGTCGATGCTAAAGAATACATAGGATTTACATCCAGTGACACTACATGGTCCTTTTTAACAGCAGACATGTATTTTTTTGATGTAAACTATGTAGGAATTAGAGGTTGAAAAGTTATGTTGCACATACTTTTGGTTGCACAAAACCCCCACTTCTTCTCTTTGTCGTAATCTCTTGTTGTTGCACACCACATCTGTCCATCTGAGCGGCCATCCTTTGTGCATTCAGCGTACCATTTCTCCTGGTACCTAAAGGGGAACTGACAAGGTCTTCCGAATGCGTTCCCCCCAATAGTGAAAACCTCTGAGGAGACAGATTTACAGATGGAAAGAATCATCACAGTTCGTAGGACATTTCTACCTTCATCTTTTGCTTTTATATAGCTTTGCTTTAATTTGACTTCCAGGCTAGTTTTTTACTTTCCCAGCAGATCCTTTTCAGAAATCTTGGAAAGTAAAAAAAAATCAGGAAAGTAGTCTTCATTCTGTTTGTCACTGAAAATAAAGTAAATTTACTATCAGATTGATTCTAAAAGACCTAATTAAATATTAAATACCTTTTAATTAATGTAGAGACATCTTAAAACATTTCCAGATTTGGAAAAACCGAAGGGTCCTCCAGTTTAGCAACCACTGCAGAAGCATAATTCAATTTGTTTATTGCAGACGCAAGACACCTACCTTGAAACCCCTTTGAACAAAGGTCCCCCTGAGAGCCAAAAATCCTCCAGCGACTCCACACCCCCGAGCCTTTATAGATCATTACATTTTTCTCTTTACGGTTGCCATAGTTTAGGTGCAGGTCCTGGTCTTTAAGACCAAAAAGGGTCTCGTTCTTGCATTGCCAGTGCTGAAGAACACTGCTCTCGTTGCACTCGAAGAGGAGAACCTTCACCCAGTCTTTAATCTCTGCGGCGCCCAGACACAATTTGAGGGACAGGCTGAGAAGGCGAGACTCAGAGGCCCAGCGAAACTGCTGCTCCTTGGCGTGGGGATCACATTGATCCAGAGTTACCGATGTGGCGCTCTCTGCTTTTATGCACTTGTTGTGGTCCTGATTGAAGATGAGGAAGATGCCATTGTCTGGAGAAGAACACAACCAAAGTAATGTACATCACCATTGGAGTAGGAATGTGCTTAAGACACTTACCTATGTCAGCAGAGATGGAGACAAGTTGCAGGAGACAAAGAACCAATGGAAGTTCTGACCTGGATAACATCCTCAGAGTGTTGTTTAGACTTAGTTTGAAGATATTTTTCAGTAATGAGAGTATGGGACTGGTGTGTGCAGAGGTGCACAACAGAGAGCGGTAATGACACAAAGTCATGGTGTTTCTCTCCTCTTAACTACAGTGATGGATATCCTGTCACATGGTTAGCTGTGGTTGGTTGGATGTCTACAACTTCCAAGAGCTTTTACTACACTTTTTGGGGAAGAGGAGGAACGACGATTTCACCTCCAAGTCATAAAAGTCAGCTTAGGGTGTTTGGTGGGGGGGAATCCAGAGAAACACAGAAATTTGAGGAGAAATTTCTAAATAACTTTATCGAAGCACTTTTTTCCAGGTTTAAAAATCTTAATACGTTATCTGAGATAAACCCAGAAAGCTTACATCATTCAACAAGAACTTTTGTTGTCTTAAAATGTAGCTGTGAGGAGATTAGACAGGATTTTTTTCCAGGACCTGCTCTCAAAACGTGCACCGGGCTCCAGGTTAAGATTAAAATTATTTAAGTCAGTAGGCAGAGAGCTGGAGGAAATCCTGCTTCCTACTGGAGGAAGTGAGTGAAGACCTGACCACTGTCACATTACAGCTGCAGAAAAGCTCCATCTTTGACAAGATCTCCAAAATATATATATTTTTGGGCCTTTAACCCTTTTACATCACCCTGCATCCATGGTCTCTAGGGAATCGCTTTACTGGTGAAGAATAAAGGCACATTTAAAAACATTGATATTTATAAAGCTTTTAACCATCAACCTCTCATTGTTGAGCTTAAATGCTTTGCAGGATCCGTCTGTAAGAGCGGATGTTAGCCGATCTAGAAGGATTTCTGAGTCCCTGCTACTGAACCAGGTTTCTGCTAAAACTAAAACCTCATTTTAAAAAGGAAATGATGCATTTTAGACCTTAGACATTTGATTATTTTAAGTGTAAAATGCAGATTTTTTTAAATGTGGGGGTAAGCAGTTTGTTTGAATTAGTCATTTTTCAACTTAATAAAAAAATCATACAGTACAGAGAAATTGCGTCTTCTGAAGAGTTTTCAGTGGGATGGGAATGTTCTAGAATGACAGGAAACTGTTGCTCCTGGGAGTAGTTTGGAAGAAATGGGATAAATTCCAGTATAACGGTTTTAGTAGAGGTAAAAAAAAATATATATATATCCACACAAAATTACATTTTCAAAAGAAAAGATTCTTTATTATATAGATATATTTTTTTAGCAAAATAAACATATCATCAATAAAAATGAGCAGTGTTCTAATCAAGTTAACTTAGCAAAAATAAAAAAGAATATCTCACAAACAACATGGATTTATTATTTTACATATTCACTGAACTTTATAATGGTAGAATAAATGTGCAATTAATGTTAAAGTGACATCACAGGTTTATTCTCAAAGTGCCATTTCTGTTGAGGGTATTTAAAGATAACATTTGTACATAAACATAATGGAAAGTAACGCAAATGTCATTTAACACATACGTTAAATTAGCTAAGAGCTCCTAGTCGGCTTGGGAAAATAATGTTATGTGTTTAAAGATCTTGTAGTTTTTTTTTCTTTTGCAAATTCAAATTTGGTTTTATTTCACCGGAAAGCTTTAGTAGTAGTAAGTTAGATCTAAAATGCTTTAATTATTTTGAAAATGAATGTTTGAAATTCTAGGCCTGTTTAAATTGTTTTCATTTATTAATTTTGTAAATTAAAAAATAAAAACACAATCAGAATTTTACATTTTATAATTTTAGGAGGATTTCATAACAAATGTTTGAGATAAACACAGTTGGATGCAAAGGTTTGGGCAGCCTTGTTAACCTTCATTATTTTCCTTTATAAAATTGTTGGTTATTACGATAAAATTTTTAGTTAAATACATCATATAGGAGAGACACACAGTGATATTTGATAAATGAAAGAAAGTTAATAGGATTTAAATTGTGCAATAATTGTTTAAACAAAATTAGGCAGGTGCATAAATGCGGGCACCACAAAAAATAAATTCCTCCTTTTGCAGAAATAACAGCCTCTAAATGCAATGAGAGTCTGGATTCTGGTTGAAGGTATTTTGGACCATTCTTCTTTACAAAACATCTCTAGTTCATTCAGGTTTGATGCTTCTGAGCATGGACAGGTCTTCTTAACTCACACCACAGATTGTCTATAATATTCAGGTCTGGGGAGCGAGATGGCCATTCCAGAACGTTCTACTTGTTCCTCTGCATGAACGCCTTAGCAGACTGTGAGCAGTGTTTAGGGTTGTTGACTTGTTGAAAGATCCAGCCCCGGTGCAGCTTCAGTGTTGTCATTGATACCTGGACATTGGTCTCCACAATCTGATGATATTAAGTGGAATCCATGCATCCCTCAACATTAACAAGATTCCCAGACTCTGCACTGGCCACACAGCCCACAGCATGATGGAACCACCACCGTGTTTTACTGTAGGCAGCAGGTGTTTTTCTTGGCATGCTGTGTTCTTTTTCCTCCATGCATAACATCCCTTGTTATGCACAAATGACTCAGTTTTAGTTTCATCAGTCCAACACCATCCATCCATCTTCTGGACCTGCTTGGTCCACGTAGGGTCGCAGGGGGGCTGGTGCCTATCTCCAGCAGTCAACGGGCAATTAGGCGGGGTACACCCTGGACAGAGAGCCAGTCCATCTCAAGGCAACACAGAGACACACAGGACAAACAACCATGCACACACACTCACACCTAAGGACAATTTAGACAGACCAATCAACCTAACAGTCATGTTTTTGGACTGTGGGAGGAAGCCGGAGTACCCGGAGAGAACCCACGCATGCACAGGGAGAACATGCAAACTCCATGCAGAAAGATCCCAGGCCGGGAAGTGAACCCAGGACCTTCTTGCTGCAAGGCAACAGCTCTAACCACTGCACCACTTCGCAGCCCGCAGTCCAACACCTTATTCTAAAATGAAGCTGGCTTGTCCAGATGTGCTTTAACAAACCTCAAGCAGCTCTGTTTGTGCTGTGAGTGGAGAAAAGGCTTCCTCTGCATCACTCTCACATACAGCACCTCTTGTGTAAAGTGCGTCAGCCAAGGAGAGTTTTCTGTATCCTTCCCCTATAACATGATGGTGAACAAACGGTTTTCAGCTCATGTGAGTTGTTCTGAGACCCCACTTTGCTACTCCTCAAAGAATATTCAAAGATGAGGAAACTTACAATTGGCCCCTTAAATACTTTTTCTTAACACAATTTCTGTAAATCCTATAAACTTTGTTTCACTTCTCAAATATCACTGTGTGTGTGTCTCCTATATGATTCATTTAACTGAAATATTTTATCTTAATAACCAACGATTTATACTGGAAAATCATGAAAATTTACAAGGCTGCCCAGACTTTTGCATCCCACTGCATTTGGTGATCTCAGGCTGGCCTCTGCAGTTGAAATATTTAGTCAGTTTTTTGTTTTTGAAGCACTTTGGGACTGAAAAAAGATTGATGAAAATAAACATGCAGTTGAAAAACGGTCCTTGAATATCCTGACAGTCATCAAATGTAAATATTTATTACCAAAACTTTTGCAGTAACTCATTTATGAGCATTTCATTCCTAGGTCCAGACTCATAATGAGCTGATACCTGCATTTCCAGTGTGTCACCAACTCCTTGTGTGTTGTTTTGTTTGGTCTCAAAAGAACATTCTCTCCGTGTTGAAGACCCTCAGTTTGGTCATGAAGTTGAAATAGACAAAGGCCAGACAGACCAGCAGGTTCTTCATCAGATAGAGGATGGGAGTGACAAAGCCAAAAAAGGCGATGAGACCAACACGAACAAAGAAGAAGGGTAAGTCCTGTAGGGCCACCCCAAGAGAGGAGAGCAGGGGCGTGTGGGGCATGACCACCACACGAAGGCAAGACACGTAGCTGAAGATGTAGATGGGAAACACCCAGCCTGAGTAGTACACCAGAGGATGCCCCGCCACTCTCACCATCTCCACTGTGTCCATCCAGAACATAAAGCTGTCCACAAAAACATCCGCTCGAGCATCACTGACGCACAAGAACCTCAGAGGGCCTGTGTAGGTGTACGGAGATATACGATATGCCGCAGTGCTCGCTGACTGTGAGCTCAATCCAGAAACATTAAATGGTCTGCCGGGGACCGTTGGCATTCCCGGAACTGTACCGTTGGTCTCTGGTCGAGCTCCATTCTGGTTCCTGTCATTGAGTTGGCCTGTTGCACCTGGCTGCAGTGAAGTCGGTACTCCTTGTCCTGGTATATTCTGTCCGGGTACAGCTGGCCCCGAAACAACTGGGGAGATGGGAGTTACTGGTGTTATCTGCTCCACGTGTGTGAGCACATTGGAAGGAATTTCAGCATCTCTTTCTACGGTGTTAACTGGAGAGAGAAGGAAAACAACAAGTAGGTTAAAGGTCTCCTTCACTCGCTTTTTCAATGCATTTGCTGTGGGCTCCTAGCCTGTCAAGCCATCCGACGTATGTGAATTTATAGTTTGGCCCATAGACAGAATTCAGTCGTGGGCAAAAATATACAGTTGTCTTTCAAACTATCTCCGCATGCTATTGGACAACAAACAACGTGATGTACTCTCCACTGTGGATGTCAGCCAACAGGGCAGTCTACCATACATTGTAGAAGACATAAATACATCCTTTTTCTAAATAAAGGACTTAATTACCTCTATCTGCTCTCGACTCAAAGTACAGTACAAGTCTAAATAGTCCAAAGTTGATGCCAAAGCCATTTGAAATGAGCCCTCTCCATCTTGTTGTTTACCTCAGTTGCATCATCCTGCCTAACACACCAATATAGCATTGTGACTGGCATAACACAATACTGATCGGGCCAATTGTAGGCCTGCTGAGGCTCCAATGGAGTGTGGCTAGACTATCATGCAGAGCCAAACCATTTTGCTTTGGCTACTGTCTGTCTAGCTGTCTAGGCAAGCTGTGCAAAGACCTAGTTTGGAGGTCCTACAGACATGGTCTGGACCAACGGACTCAATATAGACATGATCTGTACGTCCATGTGACGTTGACTGGTTTGCAGGGAGGGGTCTCTAGTATGAGCACTTAACTTTATTGCAGAACAAAAGATCTCTCATGCCTGTTTCGAGGGATAGAAGTTTGTTGGGGGGGGGCAGGATTACAAGTTTTACTCATTGTTATTTATGATATATAAACGACTCGCGTCTAATAGGCTAACAGCAATGCAACTCTTCCTCTACATTCATTCACTCTCTTTTCTTGGGGAAAAATACAACACAGATGTGTTATCGCCTCAAATGACACAAACCAATTTGTGTTCTGCCCTGTTGTACAATTGTTAATTGCTTAGCTTCTACTAGCTGAGATGTATTCTGCTCTCTCCCGGTCATTAAAGCAGTACTGTGTTCTGTGGTCTCAAGGTGGGTCAGTCCATGAATGCTAATGTTCCAGTTGACGTAGGAGACAGATTTTTTCTGACCCAGTCATCATCAGGTATTATGGGTTAAAGAACATTTTCACGTTCAGCATGCATGCAACTCAGAGTGATTCTGAATTTGTATTCCAAAATGAACAAGTATGACAAGCCTTCTCGGAGAACAAGAAATATCATAGGGAAGCGAGCAGAGTAGCACAAACTATCAAAATCTCATCATCTAAAATGTTGAAATAAGGGTACTTGGTACTGAAAAAGTGTTTTATTATTAACACTAGTTTCAGATCTTTGTCAGTGAGTGGTGATGCGTTTGTAGACACCCTCACCCTGGCCAGTCAGTCGACAGTGGCGCATCCTCTCCACAACATCAATGCAGATTAGTGTAAAGAAGACCAAGGATACAGGGACCTCTGTGAATGTATCGTGTTTCATGTTGTTGTTTATCTGAACCTGGACAAGCATGGAGATAAGAATTAGATATAATGCAATACATATGTTTGACCCAAATACATCACTGAAAGCTGCGTGTTTACACCATGCAGCTGTGGTTTTTGCCTGAGTCAGTCACTGACAGGAGAGAGAACAAAGCAGAAATTTGGTCATCGTAGCAGAATTGATGGCTTCTTTGGGAGATAAGAATGGGCCAACGGGTCAACTCCGACTTTACGAGAAAGATACATGAAACAGCAAAATGAGCTGGGGCTGCAAACAGCGAGGAAGTGAAAATGTGCTTAATGGACAGATGATTTGACACCGTGGACAGGAAGAGGAATCAAGCTGCTTATCTGCAGCTTCTTATCCACTATGTTCCTCAGAGAACCAAGAGGATTCTCACAAATCATCACTTTTCATTCGCTGACATAAGCTTCTAGCTTTTAGAGTACAAACACAATCCTATGAAGGTATGTGCATCTTTAAAGGTGAAAAAGGGAACTTTGATGTATGTCCTGATCTGTTCTTTTTGCTTTTCTATTTTTGTATGCAATAGTCAAATTATCTAAGCTGTTCGTGTTCAAAGGCACACAAGCAATTTCAGTCTAGACTAGAGAAAAACACTCACCAACACGGAGAAAGATAAAAGTCCACTTTGCAGTGAGACAAGGAACCATGTTTTCTGTATAGTTTCAGATGTGTGTGGGGGAATGAGACGCAAAAGCAAAAGTGCGAAGTTCACACCAAGACAAGCAGCGGTTCATTACCAGGTCTAGTGAAGGGTAGAAATCTTCCTAGCAACACAAACTGACGGTACTCTGCAGCTGGTAGACTTCATACCTACACTAAACAATGTGTGTGTGTGTGTGTGTGTGTGTGTGTGTGTGTGTGCGTGTGTTTTTGTGGCATATCTGGACGTTTGACCTGAATACGTACCGACATTACAAGGACCTTTGTGTCTTAGGAGGACTAGGCCAAGGTCCGCCTAAATCATGGTATGTATTTGCTTTTTTAAGTACTTAAAAATAATTTTTTCTCATGGATTTTGGGCAAAACCTATACTTTACAAGTGGCTTTATAGTTTGGATTGTGTTTTGACACTTAATAATATATAAACAGCTTTTATTTTCAGTTTATTAATTTGTCCATCTATACCACTCAATATGATTTTTGTGTATTTATGTGTATAACACAGCGCCCCTGGATGTTGTGTATTTATTGCACTTTTATACACATTTATACACTTCGCGGGGTTTTGGGGTGTCCCTTTTGTGATTGGCTGTGGGCGGGACATAAAGCCCAACCCCTCAAAGCTACTTCCTGAAGACGTGCCTTTAAATTTTAAATGCCTTCAAAGCTGCAGCACTCAAAATGGAGGTCCCCGTGGATTAAACTTCACAGGTAAGCAATAGTATTAATACATTTCGGTTATTTTCTAGTTTTAATGTTTCTTTGATGTAACAATAGACTTGTAGCAAGTATTTAGAGAATGCAATGCAGTTCGTTTGGTTAGCAGTGAGTTGCTAGCTAGCTTAGCATTAGCTTGCAGGGTGTCCTCCAGAAAACTTAAGCCTGGCGGTATAGAAGCCCAGGCGTTGTAGCGAGGCTGGTGGAAGAGCACGTTTATAAGATTCGCTTCCGTTCGTCGTCCGTGATAACGGGGGGGAGGTGGGGTGAGCGCACGGGTAGATTCGGTACCGTGCGTCATCCGTGATGGGGGGGGGGGGGGGAGCTGGACTGATAGAATCGCTACCGTTCGTCGTCCGTGATAACTTGGGGAGGTGGGGGTGAGCGCACGGATATATTCGGTACCGTGCGTCATCCGTGAGAGCGGGGTGAGGTGGGGGTGAGCGTATGGATAGATTCGGTACCGTGCGTTGAACGTGATAACTGGGGAGGTGGGGGTGAGCGTATGGATAGATTCGGTACCGTGCGTCATCCGTGATAGCGGGGTGAGGTGGGGGTGAGCGCATGGAAAGATTCGGTACCGTGCGTCGAACGTGATAACGTGGGGAGGTGGGGGTGAGCGTATGGATAGATTCGGTACCGTGCGTCGAACGTGATAACGTGGGGAGGTGGGGGTGAGCGTATGGATAGATTCGGTACCGTGCGTCATCCGTGATAGCGGGGTGAGGTGGGGGTGAGCGCATGGAAAGATTCGGTACCGTGCGTCGAACGTGATAACGTGGGGAGGTGGGGGTGAGCGTATGGATAGATTCGGTACCGTGCGTCGAACGTGATAACGTGGGGAGGTGGGGGTGAGCGCATGGAAAGATTCGGTACCGTGCGTCGAACGTGATAACGTGGGGAGGTGGGGGTGAGCGTATGGATAGATTCGGTACCGTGCGTCGAACGTGATAACGTGGGGAGGTGGGGGTGAGCGCATGGAAAGATTCGGTACCGTGCGTCGAACGTGATAACGTGGGGAGGTGGGGGTGAGCGTATGGATAGATTCGGTACCGTGCGTCGAACGTGATAACGTGGGGAGGTGGGGGTGAGCGCATGGAAAGATTCGGTACCGTGCGTCGAACGTGATAACGTGGGGAGGTGGGGGTGAGCGTATGGATAGATTCGGTACCGTGCGTCGAACGTGATAACTGGGGAGGTGGGGGTGAGCGTATGGATAGATTCGGTACCGTGCGTCGAACGTGATAACTGGGGAGGTGGGGGTGAGTGTATGGATGGATTCGGTACCGTGCGTTGTCCCTGATGAGGGTGGGGAGTGTGGGGGGGGGGGGGGGATAGGGAAAGCCCTGGCTTGTAGCAACGTTTTCAAATTAGTTTTATATAGTTGGAAAACTAATGAAAGGTTGTGAATCTTACAGTTTTTGGTTACATTTATTGAATTTGTGAAGCTACAGCTGCTAGTTTAGCATTAGCTTGGTGCTGTAGCACATTGCATCATGGGATTGGTAGTGAGCTTATAAACCTGCAGAAAATGGTACACTCCTGTTGTGTTAAGGGCTGCCATGGCATCAAGAATCGGGAGCAACTGTTAGTTTTTCCCAGAATCGTACAGATATAAACAAACACGCCTGCCGAACTTTTACTTTGTAATGTAAACTTTTAATTTCTGCAGAGGAAACTTGTTAATATAAGTCAACATGGTGGATTTAATAGAAGCTTTAAAGAACAAACTCTGGACGGTGTGAGGTGAGTTTGTCTCACTGCAGAAATAAAAACGCACACGGAGCGTCAGCAGTCAGACGCAGCCACTCACCAACACTCGTGTGTGTGTGTGTGTGTGTGTGTGTGTGTGTGTTTGAGCGTCAGAAGGGTGAACAATAACCTGTAGAATAATTAAAGATGGTTCTCTGTGAATGAGCATAATAGACCCTTTTACTACCTACGTCATCAAAAGTTGCGCGCGCAGCCTGGCAACGAGAGTGAAGGCTTCCTCATTCACATTCGATACTAAAACAGCGTTTGAAACCTTTTGTTTTGAAGTTCTGAGCACTTAAAAAAAGTCGGGTTGTTGCGTGTATGGATGCCAGAATCGCTTCTCTTCAAGCAGTGGACTGAAACTTTACAGAATTCCGAAGGGAGCACATCCATTTGAACAAAATCGGAGGCGTCTGTGGCTGCAGGCCATCAAAAGTGTAACTGCAGCCTTTCCTGTTTTTCCCATCCTAACACAAACTCAACTTTGAATCAAATTGCTGCTGCGTGGCTGCAGCATGACCCAAGTCTGGAACATCAAAATGACAGAATTAAACAAATTTATACGCTTTATTTCATGCTTCAAATTAACATTTCATTCTAATTCATCTGTATTTTCCCACTGCATATTAGTATAAACTGTATTTCTCTAAAATTTACACGATTGTACTCTGAGCACGCTAAAAAAAGAAACCTATGCTATACTCACCCTGCCATGCAGGCACAGTTGGCTGTGAAGACGTAGTTCTCTGGTTTGTTTACTATGACCCAAGCCTCATACATAGCAGTCCTTGTCTTTGGCTAGGAAGGACTTCTGCCTTCAAGACGCAAAACTCAGAGTCTATGTCGTGATATTTTACTTTCTGTACGTGGCCACAGACAACATAGTTGTATGCATCTAACGATTTGTATGCCTGTAGCTTCTCACTTGTGTACTTACTGGGCCTCTCCACTAAAAACGTGAACATATCGGGCCACTGGATATCTGGCCACGCACCTACATCTTACACCCATTCCGTAATGCCACAGGGATCCGGGAGTCTGTCGCCATTCGTTAAAGTGAGTTTAATAATACAACATTCAAGATTTGCTGGTGATAACCCAGCAGCGTAGCTTGATAAAGCCTGAAACAACGCCATTCTCTGTTGCCAAGCTGCGCGCATTCTCGCTGAAGTCATATTGTTTACAAACAGTAAAAGGGTCTATACTGGAACATTTTTGGTAAATAATAATTTGGGAAGACGGCAGGAACAAGGAATAAAATAGTTTACAGTATTTAAAACATCCCTAAACTGGAGACTTGACAGGTGTGATCCTGATTCTGTGAATGAACTGTCAGTGAAGGCTTTCACATCACAACTCTGCCTCTCCTAGTTACAACTCTGGTGAGTGTGACTTCTTGTCCTCTGCGCATGCAGGTCACTTTGGGGCCATAAAGCGTTCACACTGGAGAGAGTTTGATGTCACATTTCAGTCAAAATGTAAACAACCACACAAAAATATTAGGATTTTCGGAATTGAGCATCAGGACCTGCAGCATGAACGTAACGTCAGAATTATCATTATTTGAAACTTGGAATTATCATTTTGTTACCCTTCCTGTAGCTTTCCTTAAGATTTAACTCTTGCTATTATTTAGTGCCCGCCTTGGGACTGGGAGGTCAATTCCCAGTTGGGTCATAAGGCGACCAGACTTACGGGACCCCACGCCTCCCTTCTTGACACTCGGCTTCAATGGGTTGGATTTGGGTTTAAACCACCAAATGGTTCTCGAGCACAGCCACTGCTGTAGCTCACAGCTCCCTGTGGGGATGGGTCAAGTGTGGAGATGTAATTTCACACGTGTGTGATGATGACTATGGGACTTTAACTTTACAGATGCCAGTAAAACATGGAGAGGCAAAGACGCATTAACCCAAAAGGAGATGCTAAATATCACATTGAGAATGGAAAGGACAAAGTGGGATTTGACGTAAAATCCATCAGTGCCTACAAAGGTATAATTATTTTCTGGTAGTTTAATAAAAATATAACCTGAACTCTACATTGACAATTCTCTCTCTCTCTCTCTCTCTCCCCTCCCCTCCTCCCCCCCTCCCTCCCTCCCTCAACAAGGCCGTGGTGTCTTTGTAACTACCTCTTTTCAAAAAGGAGACTTTCTGTTGGAATATAGAGGAGAACTGATCAGTAAGGAGGAATGTGAGAGGAGACAAAGAGTTTATCATGATACACTTAAAGTGTTTCTGTTTGAATTCTACTTTGACGGAAAGCTGTGGTGGTGAGTATGATTATACAATCAAATTAGAAATGGCTGAATGTGCTGTCACTGGAAGTCACAAGACAATTTATGATGTAATAATTGATGCATTAATGTTTTAGTGTTGATGCAGCAAAAGAAGATGGGTCACTTGGAAGACTTGTCAATGATGATCATGTCTGTCCTAATGCCAAAATGAAGTACCTGACTGTGCAAGGGAAGCCCCATTTGTGCTTGTTTGCTATTCGAGAAATAAGCCAGGGAGAAGAGGTAACCTATAATTACGGTGACTCAGACTGGCCATGGAGATGCAAGGTGACTGACAATTGAGTCATTAAATTTTGAATGCCTATGAAATTTGCCTATGGAAGAAACAAGTTAATGTTTATTTACAGTATAAAATCCAATCATTTTTAACACGTGTACAATATTTTTATGAAAGACAAAGCATGTTTTTTTTTTCATCCTAATAATTTTCAGCTTTCCTTTGATGTTACTTGAGTGGTATGAATTAAGACTATCACTAACTTTTATTCATTTTCTGATGCAGATAAGGACTGAAAAGAGGCATAGTAAGGTGGCAGCAAACAACGCAAACCAAACTGATCCAGACCTTGAGCCGCTCCATAGAAGTGCAGAGGTAGTCTATTTTTATTGTTCACTTAAATTATGCTACTTCTAATATGGGTTTTCCAACAGTACTACTCCGTGTGACTTGGATGGGTGTGGTTCAATTTTACTGCCTTTTCCAAAGACATGGTTCAGTATTTTCACCCAAATTTTCAGTACCTGATTGGTTGTGGTTCTTAGCATGCTGACCAAGTCTAAAAATACTATGTAAGAGACTGACTGTCTCTGATTTGGCTAGGGTGTGGAGTCACTAGTTGTTCCAGAGCTTTCTGCCTGCAGCAGTTTATAGGTTAGGTGGAGTAGATGGAGTAGAGTCAGGGTCAGAGTTTGACAAAAAGCCAGAGACTGGCAGTTAATTTGCAGTCCACTGCTATACAAATACATGCCTTTTACAAACAAGTAGACAGGCAAGCTGCACAAGACATGGATCCATGTCCTCAATTTAAATTTTCCTGGGGAGATTTTTTTGACACTATGTCCTAAACAAATATTGAATTTCTTCAAGAATTGTCTAAATTTAGTTTGTCACTAACTTGTATTGAGTAGCTGATGCTTGTCTGATGCAGGTCTCACCTGAGGCAATCCAGAGTCAGATGCCAGAAGACAACCTGAAGCAGACTGATCCCAACCTGATTTCTACCAACAGGAATGCAGAGGTGATTTCTATTTAATAATTAGATGATATATGCAACTTGTTGTAAGATGTTAGTCAACCACTCTTGTAATTAGTGTGTAAGTGTATCTGAGTGTTATGTGCTTTACATGGACACTGGTTTGTCAGGACAATCTCAACAGAGGTTTTCATTTTAGTAAGCCATCTGTGTGTGTGTGTGTGTGTGTGTTTAGTTGCGTTCTATCCTATTGTTGTTTAGGAGGACCATAGGGTTTATGTGGACCTTCGTAGGTTCAGTGGAATTATACATTGTCTAGCCCAAAAAATGTCACCACCAAAAGAAAAAGCTAGCTGTTGCACTTATGCGCAGTGGGCAATATTTTACTCAAATAATCCAAATGGCTGTGTACATGCACGTCAGTTGGAATGATGATCGGACAAAACCACCTCTCAATTGGATTGAAACTTCATTCCGATCGGGCCGAATTGGATCATAACACTTCGATTTACATGTTTACATGTAGAATTTTTTATCTGATTGGGCGTTCAATTTAATTGTGCCCATGTAAATGTGGCTACTGACAGTTCTTAAGTCATATTTAGTTCCTTAGATGTTTTCACTGCCCTATTCATGCTAATCATTTGACCCTTCTCAAAACAGACGAACATCTTTTACACGACCACCAGATGTGTTTTTCTACATGGCTGTTTAAGAAATGAGAAGCAACTCACTGCAGCAGTTGGAGTTAAATAACTTGTTGCCAGTTGAAAGATTATCGCCCATGCAGTAATTATCCAATAGGAGGCTCCTCTCTGTTTGCTTAAATAAATCTAGGTGGCAACTTCTTTTTTAGGCAAGGCAGTGTGTTTGCATTCTAATGCAGTAAGAATTTTCTACACGTTTTTATATATAGTGTAAATGTATAAAAAACAAAGCTACAATATGGGAACAGCAGTTTGTCACTAACTTGTATTGAGTAGCTGATGCTTGTCTGATGCAGGTCTCACCTGAGGCAATCCAGAGTCAGATGCCGGAAGACAACCTGAAGCAGACTGATCCCAACCTGATTTCTACCAACAGGAATGCAGAGGTGATTTCTATTTAATAATTAGATGATATATGTAACTTGTTGTAAGATGTTAGTCAACCACTCTTGTAATTAGTGTGTAAGTGTATCTGAGTGTTATGTGATTTACATGGACACTGGTTTGTCAGGACAGTCCCAAACAGAGGTTTTAATTTTAGTAAGCCATCTGTGTGTGGGGGTGTGTGTGTGTGTTTAGTAGCTTTCTATCCTATTGTTGTTTAGGAGGACCATAGTGTTTATGTGGACATTCGTAGGTTCAGTGGCATTATACATTGTCCAGCCCAAAAAATGTCACCACCAAAAGAAAAAGCTAGCTGTTGCACTTATGCGCAGTGGGCAATATTTTACTCAAATAATCCAAATGGCTGTGTACATGCACGTCAGTTGGAATGATGATCGGACAAAACCACCTCTCAATTGGATTGAAACTTCATTCCGATCGGGCCGAATTGGATCATAACACTTCGATTTACATGTTTACATGTAGAATTTTTTATCTGATTGGGCGTTCAATTTAATTGTGCCCATGTAAATGTGGCTACTGACAGTTCTTAAGTCATATTTAGTTCCTTAGATGTTTTCACTGCCCTATTCATGCTAATCATTTGACCCTTCTCAAAACAGACGAACATCTTTTACACGACCACCAGATGTGTTTTTCTACATGGCTGTTTAAGAAATGAGAAGCAACTCACTGCAGCAGTTGGAGTTAAATAACTTGTTGCCAGTTGAAAGATTATCGCCCATGCAGTAATTATCCAATAGGAGGCTCCTCTCTGTTTGCTTAAATAAATCTAGGTGGCAACTTCTTTTTTAGGCAAGGCAGTGTGTTTGCATTCTAATGCAGTAAGAATTTTCTACACGTTTTTATATATAGTGTAAATGTATAAAAAACAAAGCTACAATATGGGAACAGCAGTTTGTCACTAACTTGTATTGAGTAGCTGATGCTTGTCTGATGCAGGTCTCACCTGAGGCAATCCAGAGTCAGATGCCGGAAGACAACCTGAAGCAGACTGATCCCAACCTGATTTCTACCAACAGGAATGCAGAGGTGATTTCTATTTAATAATTAGATGATATATGTAACTTGTTGTAAGATGTTAGTCAACCACTCTTGTAATTAGTGTGTAAGTGTATCTGAGTGTTATGTGATTTACATGGACACTGGTTTGTCAGGACAGTCCCAAACAGAGGTTTTCATTTTAGTAAGCCATCTGTCTGTGGGGGTGTGTGTGTGTTTAGTAGCTTTCTATCCTATTGTTGTTTAGGAGGACCATTGGGTTTATGTGGACCTTCGTAGGTTCAGTGGCATTATACATTGTCCAGTCCAAAAAATGTCACCACCAAAAGAAAAAGCTAGCTGTTGCACTTATGCGCAGTGGGCAATATTTTACTCAAATAATCCAAATGGCTGTGTACATGCACGTCAGTTGGAATGATGATCGGACAAAACCACCTCTCAATTGGATTGAAACTTCATTCCGATCGGGCCGAATTGGATCATAACACTTCGATTTACATATTTACATGTAGAATTTTTTATCTGATTGGGCGTTCAATTTAATTGTGCCCATGTAAATGTGGCTACTGACAGTTCTTAAGTCATATTTAGTTCCTTATATGTTTTCACTGCCCTATTCATGCTAATCATTTGACCCTTCTCAAAACAGATGAACATCTTTTACACGACCACCAGATGTTTTTCTACATAGCTGTTTAAGAAATGAGAAGCAACTCACTGCAGCAGTTGGAGTTAAATAACTTGTTGCCAGTTGAAAGATTATCGCCCATGCAGTAATTATCCAATAGGAGGCTCCTCTCTGTTTGCTTAAATAAATCTAGGTGGCAACTTCTTTTTTAGGCAAGGCAGTGTGTTTGCATTCTAATGCAGTAAGAATTTTCTACACGTTTTTATATATAGTGTAAATGTATAAAAAACAAAGCTACAATATGGGAACAGCAGTTTGTCACTAACTTGTATTGAGTAGCTGATGCTTGTCTGATGCAGGTCTCACCTGAGGCAATCCAGAGTCAGATGCCGGAAGACAACCTGAAGCAGACTGATCCCAACCTGATTTCTACCAACAGGAATGCAGAGGTGATTTCTATTTAATAATTAGATGACATATGTAACTAGAGCTGTGGCGACGCATCAATGACGTCGACGGCTCGATTCTAAAAATTCGTCGATGTCAGATCCGGTAGTCGACGCACCACGCCCACTTGTTATATCCCCAGGAGTTTGTAAATAGAGGAGGAATCTGCCTGTTTTTCCTCTAGTTCGCCCTCTTCTCCGCCAAATACCGAAGACCCGGAACAATGTCCGTCCGCTACGAGATTCCTTTCCTGTTTTGCCCGCCTTCGCCCCCCGGCAACGGACAGCAACTTCCGGGGTCAAATGCGCTAATTCATCTCTATCGCAGATGTCGAAAATCACCGAGAGCGTTTCTCCCTTCATTAAGGAGCTTCATTCAGACATTAGGAAAGCTGTTTTGGTGGTAGCACTCTCCTCCATGCTGGTCTGTTTGTTGCTGGGTGTTTTTGGTTAATTTAAACTTGGTAACTTGAACTTAACGTTGGTAAAGCTACTGTTAGCATATTCGTTAACAGCTTCTTGCATTTCAAATCAAATCAAATCACTTTTATTGTCACGTCACATGTGCAGGTACACTGGTACAGTACATGCGAGTGAAATTCTTGTGTGCGAGCTTCACAGCAACAGAGTTGTGCAAAAATACAGTAATGTAAAAACAAGTAAAATATAAAAATGGCTAATCTAAATATACAAATGAATAAAGTAAACAATAACATAAGAGATATAAAATATACAGAGGTTGGTATGTGCAAAACAGTGGCATTAATGTACAGTATGGAGTGTGTAATGTTGGAGTTTCAGTAGTGAGGGTGAGGTGTCTGCGCCGTGTTCAGCAGTCTGATGGCCTGATGGAAAAAGCTGTCTCTCAGTCTGCTGGTTCTGGACCGGATGCTGCAGAACCTCCTTCCTGATGGAAGTAGTCTGAACAGTTTATGGCTGGGGTGACTTGAGTCCTTGATGATCCTCCCCGCTTTCCTCAGGCACCGCTTCTTATAGATGTCCTGGAGGGAGGGAAGCTCACCTCCAATAATCCTTTCTGCACACCGCACTACTCTCTGGAGAGCTTTGCGGTTGTAAGCGGTGCTGTTGCCATACCAGGCGGAGATGCATCCAGTGAGGATGCTCTCAATGGCACAGCGATAGAAGGTCCTGAGGATGCGGCAGCTCATGCCAAATCTTTTCAGTCTTCTGAGAAAGAAGAGGTGCTGCTGTGCCTTCTTCACTTTACTTTCCGTGTGCATGACCACGTAAGATCCTCTGCCAGATGAACTCCAAGGAAACGGAAACTGCTCACCCTCTCCACAGCGTCGCCGTTGATGGTGATGGGGGTGTGTATTCCTCTGCTCGTCCGGAAGTCCATTATCATCTCCTTTGTCTTTGTGACGTTGAGGGTGAGACTGTTGTCCTGACACCAGTGGGTCAGGGAGCTGATCTCCTCCCTGTAGGCCGTCTTATCGTCGTTGGTGATGAGACCTACCACTGTGGTGTCGTCCCATACTTCACAATGATGTTGGAGTTTCTCGTGGCCGTGCAGTCGTAGGTGTAGAGTGAGTACAGGAGAGGGCTCAGCACACACCCCTGCGGAGCACCAGTGTTCAGTGTGACGGTGGATGAGGTGGTGCCGCCCAGTCTGACCACCTGGCGTCTGTCAGACAGAAAGTTAAGGATCCAGCTGCAGAGGGAGCTGCTCAGTCCTAGATCCTGCAGTTTCCTGTCCAGCTTCGAGGGAACAATGGTGTTGAATGCTGAGCTGTAATCTACAAACAGCATTCTCACATACGTGTCTCTCTTCTCCAGGTGTGACAGGGCAGCATGAAGTGTCAGGGCTATGGCGTCATCAGTGGACCTGTTGTGGCGATATGCAAACTGTAGAGGGCCCAGTGAATCGGGCAGTGCAGAGCAGATGAAGTCCCTGACCAACTTCTCGAAGCATTTGCTCACGATGGGGGTCAGGGCTACAGGTCGCCAGTCATTCAGTGAGGAGATGGTGGAGGATTTTGGTACAGGGACAATGGTGGCCATTTTGAAGCAGGCTGGGACTACAGACAGAGAGAGGGAAAGGTTGAAGATGTGTGTAAACACTCCAGCCAGCTGACCCGCGCATGACCTTAGGACGCGGCCGGGAATCCCGACCGGACCAGTAGCTTTGCGTGCGTTCACCCTCCTGAACCACCTCCGCACACCCTCTTCAGACACAGTGTGCGCACTGACGTCATCCGCGGTGCGCTCACTGTCCGGTCTCATGGAGTTCGCTGTGTCGAATCTGGCATAGAATGCGTTTAGATCCTCACACAGAGAGGCCGTGGTCTGCGGTGTTCTGGTTCTCCCTCTAAAGTCTGTGATTGTGTTTAGTCCCTGCCACATACTCCGGGGGTTCTCAAACTGTTGCTCCACCCTGTCTCTGTACTCACGTTTGGCTGCTTTGATCGTCTTCCGGAGTTGGTAATGTGCGTGTTTGTAGTCTGATGTGTTCGCGGAGGCAAAGGTGGTGCTCCGCGCCGTTCGCACACCTCCATTAATCCAGGGTTTTTGATTTGGGAAGGGTTTAACTGTTCTGGATGGGACAACATCTTCCACGCATTTCCTGATAAATCTGCAGACTGAGTCTGTGTACTCATCAATGTCTCTAGCAGCTGCGTGAAACATTTCCCAGTCCGCGTTATCAAAACAATCCTGCAGTGTATACTCCGATTGGTCCGACCAACAATGCACCGCCCTCAGGGTTGGAGCTTCCCGTTTCAGCTTCTGTCTGTAGGCAGGTATAAGCAGGATGGAGCGGTGATCTGATTGGCCGAATGGGGCGCGGGGGAGGGCTTTGTACGCATCTCGGAAAGAGGTGTAGCAGTGGTCGAGTAGCCGATCTCCACGTTTATTGAAATGGATGTGTTGGTGTAGTTTTGGTGAGACTTTCTTCAGGTTACCCTTATTAAAGTCCCCGATCGTAATAAACGCCGCCTCTGGGTGTGCGGTTTCCTCATTGCTGATCGCGCTGTACAGTTCTCTGAGTGCTCGGTCAGTGTCGGCTTGTGGGGGAATATAAACAGCCGTCATAACCACCGCTGTGAATTCTCTCGGTTGCCAGAATGGCCGGCACTTAATCATCAGGTACTCTAGGTCCGGAGAGCAGAAGGATTTGACCGGGTGCACGTTCGCATAATCACACCAGCTGTTGTTGATCATGAAACACACACCACCACCTCTGCTTTTCCCAGTAAGCTCCTGTGACCTGTCCGCGCGGTGCACGGAGAACCCCGGTAGTTGTGCTGCGGGATCCGGTACTTTGTCCGATAGCCAGGTTTCTATGAGACAGATCGCGCTGCAGTCCCGCATCTCTCGCTGGAATGAGATCCGAGCCCGAAGCTCGCACAGCTTGTTCTCCAGGGACTGCACATTAGCCAGTAGTAAACTGGGTAATGGTGGTCTGTTAGTGCGCCGTCTTAGTCGAAGCAGAACGCCAGATCTTCTCCCTCTGCGTCGGCGCTTGCGGCCTCCACGGGCCCAGAACAAAGGCGTCTCAGGTGAGATGAATGGGGGATCTGCAAACGGCGGGTCCGTGATGAAAGACCTGAACTCCGGGAAGCAATGAGAAACTCTGTCTTTTATGTCCAGTAAGGTTTGTCAGTCGTACACAAGGATACATGTGCTACTCGTGAAAAAATAAAGAAAGAAAAAGTAGTAAACACAAAAAACAACTGTTGCTTGGTGGAGCTCGCGACGAGGCAGCCATACTCGGCGCCATCTTGGAGGCATCACCATCACCATTGCATTTGGATAAGCTGTTATGTTTTGGTTTGGAGTTCATCGTTTTTGTGGTGCAGATCTCCCTTTTATTACATTTAGAGTGTTGTTGGTTTTCGGTTTAGTTTAAAATATCACCTTAAGTTTGGTTTAACCTCCCAGTTTAGAATTTGGACCTTTGGAGATCCTTATTTTGGTCCAGAACCCTGTAATCTTTGCCCAGTGGGACATCCCAGGTTATTTGTACTTTTGTTTTAATTCCCCACAGGCAGAATTAGTTTTATTATTCCCAACCTGTGGATGGAAAGATTTAGGTTTTTTGTAAATAAACCTGATCATCATTTTAACTTTTAAATCCCGTTATTGTCCCTTCCTTTTTGCACACGAGCTAAACTCCCCAGGAAGGATCGTAACACCACTCGCCTCACACACATAAGGGACCAAACAAAGCATCATGGAGACACTCCGTCTTCTACCACCTCTCAGGCAGCAGCCTGCACTCCCAAGTTCTATATGTCACCAGAACATAACCAACCAACACAATAAAAGCAGTGTTTTACAAAATGGAAGGCCTGTAGTGTTCATGTGGACCTTCGTAGGTTCAGTGGAATTATACATTGTCTAGCCCAAAAAATGTCACCACCAAAAGAAAAAGCTAGCTGTTGCACTTATGCGCAGTGGGCAATATTT